AGGGGCAGGATTTCATTTGCACCTACCAGATGGCGTAGTGATTTCTTGGTCGGAAAAGAGAAAAATCGAAGATTGAATCAAAATGAAAAATGCGGTCTAAATGCTATTTTTCAAACAACAATTTTTAACGAACTTTATTTTGACTGAATCCACGTATGATTACAAATGTTTTTAACTGTAAAATATTTACTGATACAATATTTATATAAATGTATACAATATTTGCTTAAAAATAAGAAATTAGAATACAGCCTTTGGCATATACAGGGGGTGCGCTCACACTCTAAGATGGTAGCCTTTGRACACATCTTATGACTCTTTCATAGCAAGTTTTGCAGTAAGCAATCCTGTGCATCCCCTCCCTAAAAGCATTTCTAGCATGAGATACAGCAATGATGCAATAGCTTACCATAATGTGATTCTAAATATAACACCTGCATATTATGCATATCATTGAGGTGTATTTGCACCATTTTCTGAGTTTGGCTGATGCCCAAAGCCCAGAGGGTTTACTAAGACTATTGCAGTGAGCTTTTACAAAAAGCTTTCATAAATCACTGACATGTTTAGCATTATCTGTTCAATATTTAGCAACTAGGCCCCTATRTGATGATGTCATCGTACTTTAACATTTTATGTCTAAAACTTGAGATACAAAATAATTGTAAATGTAAAGGATGAGTATAGAGTGAAGTTTACTTGAAATACAGAATCCTAATAAATTGATTTAACACTCTAAATGATAAAAAAATCATCTTAATGAAACAATTTGTATTTATCGACTCATATTTGGGTAACAAGAGGAGCATTCAAGTGTATTATTTTACAAGTGTATATTTAGTTAACTTAAGCTATGGTTTTGGTAGCCAGTTAGCCTTGTYTTATATCAAATATCTGTGCCATGTAATGTATATTTGCTGAAGAAAGCTATTTATTGGTACCAAGTAGTTGGTCTCTCTAGTTCCCAGTAATGATTTCACCAGGACAATGTATCAATCAGATGGTGAACAAGCAAGGAATTTCATATACACGATGGTATCATAGCAACACATGATGTTATCACAAATGTATTGATTCTCCCCTTCCATGTTGAACAACATTATCGTGAAGTTCGCTGAGTGAATCGTATTCTTGTTGTGTGTCGACAACATGGATTTCAAAGGGGCTGCCAGGAATGTGTTGATCAGCCCATTTCACGTTAATGGTATAGCGACCGCATTCGTTAGGATTGTAACGCACTCCAATAAGCCTTTTCTCTTTGACGCTGTTGCGGTACATCTCCACCTTGAAGGCTCCCTTTGGGCCGTGAATACGAATCTTTAAGGTACCTGGACCTGCGCCTTTGGTCTCAACCAGGAAGTTTCCTTGGAAGCTTTCAAGCATACCATGTTCGAGCCCAGGCCCATAGGCAAATACTTGACTGGGGTCTGGTGCCTGCCCCACTTGGATAATGAAAGGACTTCCATGTACAACACGTTTACCCCAAGAGACGTGGAGTTCATGTTTTCCAACCTCTTTTGGGTAGATCTGTATATCATATGTACCATCTTGATTATCGTAGATTTTGACTTCACAGTCTTCGGTTGGTCCGCAGCACCTCACGTACAGCGGACCTTCCCCTTGACCGTTGGTGTCAATCCAGAACTTCATCCACTGGTGAACATAAGCACCGTATTCACCCAACGCGTCGCCTTGAAACCTGCAGTAGCTTTTCTTGGATGACATGGAATCRTGGACGTCCACTTTGAAKGGGCTGAAAAATGCCAGAAAAATATTAGACAGGCTATTGGAGATGTAAACAAATGACTACCAACGCGCTAATCAAAATGTAGGCGTTTCAGATAATCAGATGGAGCGTTGATGTTTACTAGTTTACTGAATGAAAGATGCCGATGATGATGACATGGACATGATGATGACATGGACATTCCATCCATTTAGCTCACTATCGTATCAGCGTTTGTGCCMGTCAATTTCCAGACAAGGAGTCCCTCATGTTGAGAAGATGCTGATGGTGATCAGATGATTTGACAATGAAAATGTAACAAATCCAGCTTCAGTTATCTAAATTAATTGTTTTGGCTAAAAAAACTCTTTAAAAGAATGGTGACCATAGATTAACTTTAAGCTGACCATCGTTCAAACAGAAGGCAAAMTGAAAATACTGCTAGATGGGTGTTGCTGTACCGGGAAAATTAGGGCAAGGATCGATCCTATCGCATTCCTCCAAGAATGATCAGAATGGTTTAGATAACTATTGCTTACAATTAGTTAATTAATTATTTATGAGATGCCATAATTGTTACCTGTCACGAATTTCTTTATTGTTCCAGAACATATGCATGGTATATGGCCCAGCACTATGCGCTACGTACGAACAATTGTACATTCCATTAGWTCTTTTCTCGATATCCACGTCAGCCTTGTCGTTAAAACTATACATTCTTCCTGTAAGTCGTCCCTCGCCACCTTCACTSGTATCGACGGTGAATTGAGATCGTTCGTCGACAAATGCTGCGACGATGATAAAATTTGATGTTAGAAGCTTCAAAAAGTGAAATCTATTGCATGGACAGTATAGGACTACGGATGGTAAGGATTGTGTTTTATTCTTACCTTTCTTAGTGCCTGTTCCGGAAGCCACAACTTTTCTTGCCAGTTGTTCTTCGGTTAAACGTCCTTGAAGGATGTTAATGGTGTATGGMGAACCTTGGATCTCATTKTTATCRTAGTACACATGCATTAGGTGAGGACCAGTTGTACTTGGTATAAATCTATAAACCACAAAATCATTACAAATATTGCTAGTGGTGTGATAGTCAAGTTTGGACTGCAATTTSATAAGATAATGTGGGCTTGTTGAAGTTCTTTGTAAAGTCTGCTGTCCTGCTTCAATCAAATGATGCATCGATCATTCAATCATTCAATAAGTCATTTTTCTTTACACTCTTCACTTCAAAAAGTATTYTTTAACAAAAAATGACTGTCTGTCCTGTCTTACCTCACGTGGTAATTACTATTGTCACGTCCTCTTGCAATGGAACATGGGACATCGTTGCCATGGGGATCATTGACACGTGCACTTAGCTGTTCCATACGAGTGTTTGGTGGAGTGACGATCTTAAAATCAGCTTCTTGGTAAGCTTCGTATTGCTCGGTGCGTTCGTCAATCTCGACACGAACACGACTCTCGTCGACTACGTTCACTACAAATGGTGCGCCTTCGATCAGCTCGTCCGAGTAGTACACGAATACCTAACGAACACACGACGATGGTGATTTTAGTTGAGATGCAAAATTGGATGGRTCTATGAAAACTCGAAACATTTGACAAATCAAGAAAATCAAGATATACCTTGTACTGTCCAGGACGGCGTGGTTGGAATTTTATGTGACGTCGTCCGTTATAATCACGTGTCAAGCTACAATGTTGGTTCCGTCCGTCAGGATCCTCAACATTGGCTCTGAATAGTCGATCATCCATGTCAGCGGAACTCTCCACAGCAAAGTCRACCTCGTTGGTGAAAAAGCTTTCAGAGTATTGCTCAGAGTAAAGCTCCTGACTCGTAACGTGTTGCACCTGAAGTGGTTCAGGCTCCCCGACCGTGATGAGGAAAGGACTGCTTTCGACTGGTTCTCCGTCGCAACGAACATGAACCTGGAAACGACATAAAAGATTAGAGGCGGAGTCAAAAGCGAGGTAAAGAGAGGAGGGGAATTGGATATATGAGAAATGCCTGATACCTTGTATACCCCTTGTCTGTAGGGCGTGAACCTCACGTGGTAATAGCCATCTTCAGATTTGACGACACGTGATGATGACGAAGGTAAGATTTCGTCATCAGGTCCCTGGACGAGCGTTGTCACGTCCCAGTGGTCTTCTGGGATATCAAAGGTGATATCAAGCTCTCGTTGAGCGATGTACTGTGTTCTTTCGGCCTCGGCTTGACGCATACGTACAAGGGTGCTGCTAGGATCTCCCACGTGAATGCTGTACATATGATGGAAAGATATTAATGATATATTAATAATGATGATATCAGTGCTGATGGTGGACATACAGACTTGTCCATAAAWGGTTTTCCATTCGTTGAATGAAATTATTGTATTACCAAACGTACCTGAAAGGGCTTCCCTCCGCTGATTTGCCCTTACACTTGACATCAACAGTGTAGGTCCCTTTTTTGTGGGGTGTGAAGCGTAGATAGTAATCTCCATCCGCTTCCCTGGTAAAGGACGAAAGGACGTGTTCCCCGTGAGGACCCCTGACATGGGCTGTCACATCCTTCACCTCCATCGGGATTTGCATTGGAACTTCCAAAGGCTGGTTGATTCGGTATCTAATCGCATCCTAAACGAAAAAAAAATCACGATTAGTATCGAGGGTCAGTACTACTAGTGCTATAGTGYTTAATCGATATCCTATCGTAACGCACTCGGCAAATACCCTTTAACATACACCATCTGGAATGGAAATGGTTCAGTAAGGAATGCTYTTAATGCATTCTGGACATGGTAATCTTTCAGTTCAGGAATGCGGGATCGCGAGGATTAAAACAACAAGACCCAGTTTTTAGCATTCTTAAGTCGATCCCACCCTCACATTTACTACAAATATTGGAATTAACTGTAAAATTTCTATTTTCAATTTAGTAATTGACAAATTAACCATCACTATTAAACCCATAAACAAAGAGACACAAAGACTAGATGTAATTGGCATGTAAAACAGTGAAATAGTTCATTTAAAACGTTGATTTAAAAGAAAGCTTGACTTAAAACGTTTCGACTTTTATTCGGAGTCTTTACAAATATRTGTYGAGTCGAAACGTCGTYAATATTGCTCACAAAAACTGAATGATWCGTCACATAAGTTTGCATCTTTGTTAACRTAAGTTAATTACTATTCTTAGCATATTCCTTAGCAGTTCCACTCCAGTGGCATCTCCAGTGGTATAATTAAATAATAGATTTACTTTATGGTTTTTGTTTCTGGAATCCATCGTTTAAAGCCAATTATCTTGCCAAAAGAAAGATGAAGTATTATAACTTTCTTCTTAAACATATTAAAAGTAGTTGCAATTGCTCAAGTTGTGAGTTTGTGATTTGATATTGTAAATAAAAGTTCCGGGAGCAAAAAGCAACATGCATTACATTTATAAAATAATTTGGTATTGACCTTATTATATTCTTATTGACCAACGATTAAATATTGCAGCTTCAAACCCAGTAAAGATGTTCCTTGTTTTTCAAGTGCTGTTTGTGTTCTTGTACTCTAGTATTGGTATAATTAACTGATGCTTATTGAAGTATAGTTCGAATTAAGAAATTCCGTGATTTAAGGAAAACAAATATAATTAAATAATATTACACCGATTGTATCATGACAAAATGTCAAAACAGTTATCGCCGATTAGTCCGGCAGACTGGTGTATAGAAGCTAACGCTTTTGTAGATACGATAACAGATTGAATAGAGATTTAGCAAAGATTTGCATGACAGATGAACTGATTTTACTTAATAAGCGTATTTTTATTTTTGTAGGTGTTTGATTACAGGTTTTCCCTTGGTGCTGTCATCTCAGATGTGAACTTGTGAACTGTTTATGCCTGTCTATTCTTTTTATTTTCATCGTTAAGTTCCTGATAATATTTTGTTCGATGACTTATCCTCTACTCATCTTCAGATATTCTAAAACTTTCCTTACAGTTACAAGAACATTTGATGTCCCAAACACGTCTGTTTATTTACCTGTTTTTCGAACTCTTTCAGCTTGACTTTCATTGATTCTTCCATGACATTCATGACCATTGGACTATTTTCAATATGGTGCCCGGCACATAAAACGTCCACGGTATACCTCCCTGCTCGGATTGGAAGGAAGCGAATGTGGTAGAGACCATCGTTTTCGATTTTAGTGGATGCATCAACGAACTCGTTATTAGGCCCCTTGACCGTGGCTGAAATTTCTCCGACATCCGGAGGCACTTCGATGGGGATGTCAATCTACGAGTAACGCAAACCAATGTCACGACATTTCTGGCATATTGATTTAGTAGTTTAAAAGGTAGATTTGAAAAATGTTGTATGATTGTGTTAATATCGTCTGCCTTTCTAATGGTTACCATAATAACAACACATTCTTCGGTAGATTATTTAAAGCCGTCATTTCATTGATGCTGATACGGGCGGTGGGGGGAGATGGTGGGGAAATTCGATCATGAAAAATCTTTCTGAGAGATGGCATGTACCGATTTATCATTCAGCATACCTCGCTTGATGTTTTAAACCCTTGTCTTTGGTGGACCGATTCTCTAACTCTAACGCTTTTCGGATCCCCAACCTTGATTTGGTARGGGCTACCTGTGACTTCCTTATTTCCGTACTTTACGACAACTCGATGAATACCGCGTCTAGTTGGTCTGAACCTAATGTGGCGGTAACCATCACTCTCTGTGGTTACAGACGAGGGGACTGTCTCCAAATCTGGATCGACAACCTCTGCTTCCAATATACCTTCGCCAGCCTCTCGAGGAACTTCGACAGGGATATCTACATCGCGACGGATCACATATCCCTTGCCGTCGGCGAATGGTTTGGGAACAAATTTGACTTTGGATGGGTCAGCTACTTTGACAATGAAAGGACTTCCACGTACAGGCTGGTTCTGATAGAGTACATTAATCTTGTGCAATCCAATACCTTAATTGAACCATTATCATCAGTATCATCATCGATCATTTCCTATTGCTAGCCATCAATAAACATAAYTATTATACCTTGTGGCGTATAGTAAACGCTGTAAGAATCTCTTTCTCTTGGGTTTTCAACGAGTTTACAATCAAAACGTCCTCGTGGGCCTTCACCATACACCTCAATACCATCCTTTGCAGCGCCTTTGAACGTAATAAAGAATTCTCCTTGCGTTTCCGTAGCGACTTGATACAAGCCTTCTCCGTGTGCTGMGACTTGATTAGGATCCCCTACGATGGATCTATTGGGGCTGGATGGGATTTCTTCTCCGTTAAACGTACACTGAGTCAAATACTCGCCACTTGTAGTAGGCGTGTACGACACGAGGTATTTACCACGTGATGTGCCACGCACATCCACAGGGATCCCGCCGTTGGGTCCTTTGCATTTGATAGCCAACTCACCAAGACCTGCCTGGGTTGTATCTACTTCAAATGTGACTGGTTTACCAAGCTGAGGGCTGTGGGTGTCTGCAAACAAGACCAAATCGCGTATGACGTCAACGCACAATTTAGACTCGACGTGCACCGTTATCGATTCACTTACCTTTAGGCGTGAGTAGAACTTTGGTATGGTCGCCAACTTTAGATGTAAAAGGGGATCCTGGAAGGACACTGTTACCAACCATCACAGAAATCTTGTGTTCGCCAATCTCACGAGGAGTAAACCTTGCTTTGTAGCTGCCGTCATATTGCTTGGTGATGTCAACTGGGATTGTTCTACGGAAATTAGACAAAGCTGATGTGAAATATCATCGTTGGTACAACATCAGGCGTTCTTCCTTACGAGCGCGAAGAAACTGGGCACAATTGTAAGGATTGGAAAACTCAAATTAAGCTATTCAGCAATGTTTATTATATAAACATTATGTCGCTATATATCTGGTCGTTTTATTGTTGAAGAAGTTTTACCTAGTTGGACCCTCTGCTGTCGCTGTCACTGGAGCATTGGTAGGGGTGGACATGGTAATGGTGAACTCTGCTGGTTTCATAACCAGGGCGTTCTTAAGACCTTGGCCTGTTACCATGGTTTCACTAACGTCATCAACTGACTGGACATTGTAAGGACTGGAAGGAATGTGTTTACCCATGTGAGTGATGGATATTTGGTGTGGACCGGACGTCTTGGAGGTATACTGGCACTTTAGTCCATCTAAAAGATTTGATAAACATACTGATATTATGGTATGTAAAGTCTATTACAGTTGTTGGGTTRAAAATCGCGGGAAGTTAAGAACTTTAAATGGCACATGTGAGAAATTCACAGGGGCCGTGCAGGTCCTTAAATCCTTSAAAAGTGCTTGAATTGAAAACTCGTTTTCAAGGGCACTTGAAACTCCTTGAAAATTTTAAATTGTCGAAAACGTCCTCGAAAACTCCTTGAAAAAAAAATTATTCCGTTCGGCTGAAGTTGTGAGGTAAGAATGTACAATTAGCATGATTATGATGTTCCTTGAAAATACAATTTTGGTCCTTGAAAAGTCCTGGAAAAGTCCTTAAATTTCGTTTTTGATACCCTGCACGGACCCTGAATTCGCCACATAAACTAGAATTTGATTCGCGATCGGTTGTGTGCTCCATTCTTGTTTTGCAGACGGTGGCGGAATGCGTTTCCTTTTTACATGGTGGTGAAAAACAACTGCAATGATTGGAATACTAGAAAATTAATGATAGAATGAGGGCTTGTCGTTGAACACACAACAGAGCGACGATGCAAGAGAACCTGTCGCTTCTTTGTGTATTGAACCTACCAAGAGTTTGTCTCACTGTTACTGGGACATCTTTTCCATCTGGGCCGATAATTTGTATCTTTGAGTTTTCAACCCCCAGGTCTCTTCGTCCATACAAATGGAACTCAGATGTTCTTCCGGTGATTGCACGCCTAAGACCAGGTCCCTCGGCATTGAACGCGGAGGCATGGCTTTTCAGTTGAGCGCAGTTACGGAATTGTAACATGTAGGCCATYACGCTCAACTCATCTACGTCTGGACTTGTCATTTCTTTTCCTGTTAACACCTTTTTGACGTCAAGTTTTTCTTCTGCGGCGTTTAGACCTTTGTCCGCTGTTGAATGGACAAGAGCATTGCATTGGATGACACTCATAAAATGGTGATTACGTGAAGATATGTTACGTTGTTTTACGCAGCATTTCATCTAACGTACATACGTACGCACTCGTGATACTGCACAAATGTATAGTGTATAGTATGGTGTAGTAAGCTCTTTTTTGTTGTATGTTGTGTTTTTGTTTGGTGTTATGTCAGTGTCCGGTTACATGGAGCTACACTGCATAAGGTGGCTTGGAATAATGTTTAAATGGTGTTATTATATATACCGTGGGGTGTGTTTGTATCGTGGTGTGTTTTGTTGAACAAGCCTCACCTCGTTGTACAGGTGTCATCCTTTCAAATTCATCATAATCTGGAATGATTCCTGGACACCTTGATTCCAAGTACAAACCCAGTCTCTGTCCGCTGCTCCAATCAGTATTGAAATTCCTGGCACGGAGCTCTGGGGCATCACCATTAATGATCTCAAGTGTACGTCTCTCTCCTGGGGAYCCCGGTTGGGTGAAGAATGACAAATACGTCATCATACTTAGCTCGTCCACGTTGGGATTAATGAAGAATTCTGGGGATAAAATCTGTGGGATGCCAAGCTTTTCTTCTGCWGTTYTCATTGCTACTGTAACGTTACGAAGCTTGTCATTTGGATCCAGTGATTGATAATTTGGCATGAGTCCCGGACGGCAAAAGTTAATCAAACCACTGAGAGCTATCCCATCATTCCARCTGGTTGTGACGTTCTTGATGGTCAAATCTGGGAGGGCGTTCTTTAGCCAGAGAAGAAGTAGTTGTTTACCTGAAGTACTACCACTAGAGCTGATTTGATAGTGAAGAATAAGTCGCCATATGAGACCCARAATAAGCTTGATATTGCCATTGACGATGTCTTCGTTGCCTAGATACAAGAGAGGAATGTTCTTTAGGTGTAAAAACAAAYCAAAATATAAAATATATCGTGTGAGCTAGAGAACACAAAACTGGACTTTAGGWCCTCCTCAAYTGGTGTTTTGTGGCTACTGTTATGAAATGGCGAAAGGCACCGCTATTGTGATATACACAAACACCTGCGCATGCGCCCTTAGAACTCGTAAACGTTACTGCKTTAACAGATCTTCTATTGCAAATGAATATGACTGAATGAGTCGTGATCTATGTCACGTTTAACGTAGCGAATGCGCGACACGCTTGGGTAAAAACCCTCCGAAGCTAAGGAGACAAACATTATAAGTATACAAGGCTAAAAAACTTCCAAAATTCAGTCATAACAAGATTACTTTTTTTCTGAAATATTGGAAAGTTTCAAACTTTTTATCGACTTTTCTTTGGTGAAATTCGGACATTTTTATGTGTCAAACTATCTTGCTATCATATTGCCTTAACAGCTTTTTTAAAGTGGAAACTAAGAACGCTGATAGTTTGCTTAACGTAATTACCAAAGAATATATAAATGTTATGATTAGGAAAGTGCAATATTAGTTTTAACGAAGAAAAACAGTGTTTGACTTATTTCTATTGCTTCATTTACTACCAAAACCGCATCAYTGCACAAATTGTAGATTGGCTGACGTGGTATGGAAATCAAAATTTTGCTGGAWTCATAAGATTTTCTATTTTGTGGCATATATATAGAAACTCATTGTCAGTGATGAAAAGAGTGTTGTGGGAAAAGGAGAAAGAATTAACGACAAACTTGGTGAAGAAGTAGAAACGTTACAATCTACACTTTGATAACACCTATCTATTGTTCTTCAGTCGTTTGGATGAAATATTTAACACAATACTTTCTTTTAAGCGTGATTAAAATTTCATTATACTAGAATTCTTGTATTTAAAAAAAGCTGTGATAGTTGTCCTACTTCAATTAAGAATGGTTTAGATTATATTTCATATGTTAAGGAATGTATTTTTAATTATTTGCGGTGCAAAGTGCTTGACTGATTTGCATTAACAGTGAAGAACAAATATAAAAAATATCAAATTTGTGAAAAGAAAAGCACCTGACGCAAATAATCCTAAAAGTAMTTAGACACAGCCCTTAACCCATCATTAGAATACCGGACAAGAGGTAGTAGCTTGAAATATGATAAAATAAAAACAAAATATTGAAAATACCTGAAATGATCAGGCCAATATCATAGAATGATCAAGAAGTGTCATTTCTTTTTACATTCAACACGCTTCATTTACGAAATATATATATACCTTCATTCGTAAATATACTGCTGTTTTTAAAGTTTTYTTTGTTTAAAGTATAATTTGAATGTTTCTTGGCAATAGTCGACATTGAATCAATCAATATACCATGTCAGCGGTATCATTTCTATATTTTTTCATAATTTCTAGACGTGTACATACCAATATTGACAAGCTGGATYCCATCTTGTTCCAGAACTTTGAGCGCTGCCGTTGTATTTTCAAGTTTCTGTGCGTACATTTTAGGGTTTTTTGTCCATCTTCCAACTTTTTTCATCGAAACAGCTTCKACCAGATAGACAATGGTTATCCCATCTTCAAATGCCGACGCTAGATCGKTGATWACAATGCCAGAATTTCTCAATTGTTCGTTGCACCAGTTGGTGAAAGTATTTTTCTGAATCTCGATCCAATCTTTTTCAGCGTGTGCGATATATTGAGAGCTTCTGATATTAGAACTGTTGAAACTACTAGATCGTCCTATACCAGTTGGAGATGTAGGAGACATTGAATGCTGTGTCACAACGTCGCCATTTATCCCGTTGTATTGAGAATGWTGGAAYGACATCTTGTCCTGCTCGTTCTATCAACCTGTCGCTTCTTGATGGCCTGTCTCACACACCTACATGTCGATGCAAGAGGTTTAGTTCACGACTCAATAGTTCCCAATTCCCTAGAGAGATCATTAATCTCAGACTGCGAGGTCTACTGTCATTATATTAATGCAAATTAATAAACTCAAACCCCTATTTGGAAAATTAATGGGAATCCACTTTAGTTATTATAAACTTGCTTAAAATATCAGAACATCTAAATTAAAGAATAAAAGTTAAACTTCTTACGGCTCTCAAATCAGGTGTCATGCAGAAGAATGTTCAGGATTTTTTTTTACTTCAAGTGCTCTGGATCAATCTAAAGTGCGTGATCCGCTGAGATATGTTTTACAAGGAGTAAGATTGGAATAAGCRATAATTGCCCTTTTTAGGACATCTTCATAATTAAGATATTCTGTTTTAATTTACAACAATTTAAACCTTTAGATTTAAATTCGCTAAATTCAAACAATCATATTTGTTGTAAATTAGTGCTAAAATGAGGACTTGGATGATTTCTATAGTTTTTTTTTGTCGAACTACTTTTTGCTTCTTCTACGCGCATGCTTATCCGTGTTCAGTCTACCTATTCTATTCATTCGTGCGCAACTTTGATTTTTCCATGCAGCTTTGCGCAATTTAACGAGGCACGCACGAGTTTGGCTGACTTTCCATCGTTATAAATGGTGGGAAATGTTTTTTGTGTGTGTTCGTCTGCTGACCTAGGCTCCATAGCAGACAATTTTAGCACTAAAAAACCCGTCTGCTATGGAGGTTGAACTTTGAAGTTAAAGTTGATAACCGAAAGAAGCGGTTACGCCTGTCCGGCCATTTTCGAAACCGACATGARGCTCATCCGAATATTGAAATGTGAAATTATATGTCGAACATTGAAATGCTCTTCAAGAGAGTTAAATCGCCTACGCGTTTGGTAAAAGTTGTTCGTTGCCGTGTAAATGCAAATGTGAATTTGCGGCATCCAAAATATCCGGATACGTGTGAACTCTGACGTGATTTTTGTTCCAGCAATTCCAGTAATTGTTGGTAATCGTTCTTTCCACTTTCATGCTAATTATGTACTGAASCACTTCAGTGACACGATTATTAGACGTATAATATTATATGCCTAAAGCTGATCTAAAGTGAGAGATGACATGGTAAAACAAGTATTTCGTTGATATTGACCGATAGATGAATGTAGTGGGCTGGATTTATTTTGCACRGTATAGCTGTGGTATCTCTTCAGTCACCCTGACTGCATTTTAGATTGTAAAAGTTTTGACATTAAATTTATTTACTTACATGTCTTTTAAAATACCATTGCGCTATAAAAGCCACTACGATTACTCGATAATTAATAATGTATGAATAATATCATGCACTTTAAGCTACACAGATAACATGTAATCATCGTTATTTATTGTACTACACAACACTCTCCACCGATGACATATGTATTTTTTATTATAAATATTTCTCTTTCTATAAACAACATGGGTTGAGAATTAAAAATAATTATCTTTTTAGAAATGGCATTTATATCATTCGCCGCTCACATAATTGATTGTTCACCACCTTAGCAGACAAAAGCTTTTTGGGGGGGCTAGTTATTTTGGAGTCGTTAATCTTAGCAATTCTTATCATGTACATTCACGAAGTTTGAACTTTCAGTGAGGAAGATACTGGGCAATTTTGACTAGAAAGCTAAGWACCACAGTCCATGAATATTTGGAATCTATTTCTATCAAGTGATTGGGATTTCAGGGTAAATCGTTGCACCCACCTGCTGTAAACGTGTGTTGATATAGGTAAATACCGCTGTGATGCAGATAGAAGAAGCCAATYTCTTTGTTGTCAGCAGTGAATGTCAGAGCCTTGCTAAAACTAAAGAACTATGTTGACAACGCATGTGAACTAAACCTTCGTTGATATTCCAGAATACTCCAAAAATGCTATTAATTTTCGCTCACGTCAACGTRGACAATGCTGSGCAARAGCGTACGATGYAACCAATGGGGCRTTGCGTTTTTGTTGTTRATTATTCCTCCATATCAGCCTCTTCAGGATTCCAATTATAGAGCGATATTATGAGAGATATATAAAATATTATTAAGAGTGACTACAGTCAGCATCAAGTTCATTCACAAAAGACAATATTATTATGTATAGACTACTTTTTAACGTAATACACACGTATCAGACGCTAATAGCCCGAGATTATTAACTACTTAACTATACTTACTATTCTTAAGATATTTTAAAGGAAAGGATTTGGATTTTGAATGCGATGATCATTCTTTTATTAGATAATGATACTCAGGTTTTTGTTTAAACTATAAAATCTACTTACTAGTGATGCTTTGTTAATATAAAAAGTCACGAATACTTTCATGAACTCGTGTTGGTATAAACTCTTGTATATTCCATAAGAAAACCCTAAAAACGACTACTTAAAAAGTAAGAATTTATTCTAATTATATCACCATATATTTGTTGATGAATTTATAACCTTTCTAATATGGACACTCTTATATTACGGACACTGCAGTATATATAATGTTTGATTTTTAAGAGGCTCTTTAAGTGTCGTGAATTTTTAGGCCGTTTGTGACGCCACACTAACTTTTGGATTGTTAAATGATGTGACGTCATTCTTCAGATTATGTATAATGGCTGCTGTTGTCAATCGTTCATCTCTTTTCTTGTGGTCTTCACGTTTTGAGCTTTCTTGCATAATTCATTTTTTTCAGTTATCTTAATATTCGTTGTAATGAGTCTCATGGAAATATTTTCAATATAATTTTATTCACAGTCGCTTATTTTTAAACTTATATTTTTCCAGTTGCTCCATCGTTTATTATGATTGTCTTTTTCGTTTGATTGGTTGTTTGTTTGTTTGTTTGTTTGTTTTTTGTTTTTTTGTGCCTGGAATTGTTCATTCAAATTATAGACGATTTTCAGAATTGTCATTTAATTCCCATTATTTTAATTATTTGTTCGCAAGTTCTATCCACTGATCCATTTCAATACCGATATTGATATTCATAGCTATAAGTCAGTCATCCATTTATCACGTCCTGCAGGTCGGTTCAAACACTACACTACTGCAATCACCACAACTTCTATGTACTATCTTTTAAAAACAACATGCTTCCTCATTTCCACAAGCAAGCAAGAATCACAGTCCATCCAAGGTACGTTGTCAAATATCTTGGTTGCTGCGATGCAAAAGTAAATGAAGACAGTGAGGACGACTACCACTCAAAATTGAATGAGATTCTACAAGATTCTCAAGTCAAAATGCACGACTTGAAAAAGATGGTYTTGACTATTACCGAGCGTGGAATGTCAATACAGTGTCCAAAGTTGGAAAAGGAGTATTTTTTTCCTGTCAATCGAATTGGAAGCTGCGGGAGGGTTGAAGAAATTGAGAAGGCATTTATGTTTACGTACAAGCCGCAGGACTGGCAGTCCGAGACTCATCTAGAATGTCATGCTGTGTTGTGCTCGTCCAAGGAGTCTTCCCTTGAATTGAAGGACGCTATTTCGTGGATGTTCAAGGCTGCTCTTTTGACTCAAAAACATAAAATACACGAAGAGGAAGTAGCCGAGAATAAACAGACATATTCCATGACACCGCCAATGAAAAGGAAGCAAAAACCACCACTGAATCGTTCAAGTTCTATTTTGTAAACAATCGAGAACTGAAGCAGAAAGATGTCATTGCACAGAAAGTAGAACGGCAATAAGATCGTAGGAGTAGGATTGATTAGACYAGGCTTCAGCTTCTCAGATGAATTAGGAGATTATAATTTGAAGAATGACTTAATAGCCAATGCAGGAAATAGGAAAAAAAGTATTTTCAGATCAACACAGATAGAGATGCATTATTTGCAGTAGAGGTCTTGAGTGAACACTGATTCTAGCTTTTGAAAATATATTTGACCGCATGTCTCTAGGTTGACGTTTCGAGAGACAGTGCAACTCATGTTATTGCCTCGCGTTGCCGCCATACCGTGAGCTTTAATATTCACATGTTTTGGAATGATATGAGTAAAGCAAGAACGTTAAAAAGATAAAGTGCATTAATTTTTARATWGTTRACGATTTCACTCATAGTATCCAACATTTTTTGAACACATTTGTAAACTTTGCTTTTTTGTCTTTCGTTTATCATATTTTGTGCACTTAATTAAAATCACTTTCAGCTCAAGTATCTAAATCATTGTCTGAACATTTTCTTTTAGATCACMTTGCCCAATTCTCATTAAAGCGCTCGCAGTGGATTGTGGTAGTCGCCAAAAGCTAGTCTTTCCAGTGTGTCAAGTAAGCTTCACGTTTTTTCACGGATAATGCAGGATCTTTTCAAATTCTGATCAAACTTATCCTCACATACATGATAACAATGATTCTTTCCTCCTAAAAACCTGACTAAAACCMRATAGCAAAGATAATGTTTTTTGTTTTTCTTTGGTGGGGTAAATTATCTTATATCTTATCTTAATGTTATTGAATTGGAGGAAGTACCTTAACATAAAACACACAAACAGCTTGACATTCATGTAGGGTTTGCTTGAAGAAAACTGCACGACTTTTACAGGTGTAATAGCGAAACCTTTCTTACCHATAATAATTATATTGCAAAAAATACCTCCCCGACTAAAATGAACAGTTTGTGAAATATAATTGGTCATTAGTAACGTTTTTCTTATCTTTTTAATCAGTTAAAACATAATATAATGATAAAGATTAAATTCATTRTAGTCCTTGCTTGCCCTGCGATAAATTTTGCATTATAAACCAATCAATGAGTTTTCGACACTAGAGACACATCTCATTAAATCGACATTAAAGGTATGAATATGGCAACTTTTACGGGTCGATGGTCAAATTGTTACGACGTTAGTGTCAAGATAGCTTTTCAGATGCACTGAGTTCCAGTTTTTTTTAAAAATTACATAACTAATACTTTTGATGATCCTTGAAGCTGTTAAAATCAAAAAAGTTTAATTAAATCTCAGAGATGAGTCATTTATATTCTTACTCTAAACACTTTATAGTTTTGTTTACRTACCAAAACAACAATCTCCATTACATTAATGAGAAGTACTAGTGAATTAGATTTTTCAGACTAAAAACGTGGTTTCTAAGTCTTTTCCTTTCAGGTTTAGTTTAGTTAAGTTTCTTTTTGATTTATAGTTGGATGTCTTTGATATCTTAGATAAATTTTTGATCAGTTTTTTTTTTAGTATTGTTTGATTGATACCTCTCTCCAAACCACCAAACTTTCTGTACAATTGTTCAAATTTACGGAMCACCGCGCTGCAGTTTACATGRTGTAACCATGATTCTAGTAGGTGTGATTTTTTCGAGAACGTCTTCTTCCGAGTTTCTCTTGGAAAGCAGATGATAGCGTAGCAGCTATCGTAGCAGAACTTTCAGCATCGTTGCAAACAAAGGCGTAMGATATCACTTTTCTGGGTTTGTTAGATACCTGGTCATTGAAGGCAAATAGTTGGTGCTTTCGATCAGCCACAACGTATGTTATTCGACTAAACGGCACAACAACTTCCGGATCTTGTTGGTCTTCGATCAGTTTCCCTCCAAGGCCGCTCATAGCAACGCTGTTTGAAGAGATCGATATTTTTACACGCAGCAAATCATCGTTTGTTTTTATGGCAGAGCTGTAGAGTGATTGYAAGCATTCTTCTAATCCCTCCTCTCCTGGGYTYGTTCTCTCTACTGTCCCTATTGATTGTACGATGAACGTCTTCGTTGGCTCTATCTCATAACTCTTTGGCTGAGATTTAAAGCTTAAGCGATTGAAGAACATCTTAACGGACTTTGTACGTCCATTTGGCGATTTTCTAAACGASGGAGGTGAACTCATTTTGGTTTCAGCTGTTTTTTTACGAACTTCTTTTCACTACGAAAGAATGAGTGTTGTAAAGCATAGCTTCTGCTCTAAGTGATCAAGGTACCAATTTCCCATCACAGCTGTCATATAGTCAAACGGTTTTGAAAAATATATGATCATTAGCATACGTCAGTTATCCTTAAATAGGGGTAGGCAATTAATTATTCTTGTCAGGTTGGACACAYTGGACTGGAACGGACTTCGGAGTGGAATGGATTTCATACGATTTTAATCAAAGTAGCTGTGAATGAAATTGATGTAATAATTCTATCATGAATAACCAAACTGTTGCAGTACTAGTTCAGTACTAAATTGGGGAATTTATGAAGTGGTTAAGTGAGTTGAGTGAGTTTTTTTTACAAACCTAATTCCAATCAATCACTCATCACGGACCTGAAGTAATTATTAACCTATTGAAGACAGACATTACGTCAAAATCCATGGTATATTTTGTAGAACATATAAAGAGTCAGTTCTATCTGCATAGAATTTACAAAAGATGCTTCTAGTTAGTTCCGCAAAACGTCCAAGGTCTTTGGGATTGGTCCCCATGGAAGCACTTTAACGTCACTTGCATTGGGTCTCAAGAAAAGGGTACCAATATAATAAAAGTAATTATTTAATGATTATGACTGGTATGTGCGATACAACATGATCGCAATGATCGCGATGTGACTGGTTCATTCGTCCTATGCTGAAGACTATAGACTAGATTAGACCCATGTTAATGTTATCCTCTGCAACGTAACATTATCTGTGGCATTCTTGAATATTTTTTAATTTTATTTTTCAATTTCATTTTGATTCGTGACGATGAGTCATTGATATTTTAAACCTATGATTCAGCACGATCATGGTCATATCGCCGACCTTGGCCAACAAAGCAGGGATTCAAAACCATGTTCCAAACCTTTAGACGTGAAGACTATCATCCTCGTCCCCAGGTCCCAGGGAAATAAGCGGGATATTTTCTATGAGCGGGATATTTTCTATGAGCGGGATATTTTCTATTCGACCCATTTTTTCAGTTTCTGATGTGTTCATTTTGTAGGCCACTTAGACAACTAGTTTCTTGTCCATGTCTGAACGTAATTCTTTCAACCGAGGAAAGTAAGAGATATATACAAAGCCTGCTCAGCCATTTGGGCCTCAAAGAGGACTGATTTGTGACAATTTAAGAAGAGCTTGCGACTCTTTTCTGCCTGCAGCACAACAGCGTAGACTAAATAAACAAACATGTCTACTGTTAGATACATGGCAATATAAAAAACTGACGTCATGTGGCCTCCTTTGCAGCAGGCGATTAGTGTCGGTTACATCTTCCCTGTACTGGAGGCTAGACGTGGAGTCACACAGAGTTTCTCAAAAATAATGATATCAATAATTAAAGGATGAGGAATCCATTTATTAAATTCGACTGTGCATTGGGATTAGATTATATACTATCTCCTTGTTGTTTATTATGTTTCTTTTTAAAAAAAGAAAAAAATTCTTAATTGTTTTCTTCGCAGTTCCCTCCCGGCCATATTGACTCACGACCGATACGTTTGCAATGTTACCTGGGAATGATATAGTCTACAGTTGCGCAAGAAGATATCTATTATTGTACGCTCGTCGGTCTCGTCAATTTAAACGCATGGTTACCTTTCATGATAGCGAAAGAAATTGTCAAGAAGAATATTCTAAATTCTTTTCAGTTGGTTATTGCTTTGAAATTAAGTTTTATACRTCACAAAATAGTATTTTATGTATCGTACTACAACATTTCTGTGTATATTTGGTGAACGTCAGTTTATTGATGCGAAAAGTCAGAAAACACCCGCTAAGACAGACGAAAGTTTTGTATAATTAGTTGTACAATGACATCCCATTCGGTACTACGTTCTGAACTGGTTGCTATCAATCTTTCCGACAATTCAAGTGTTCTCAGTAGGTTTCAGAAAGTAGTATAGTGAGTATATTGTGCTGCATTCTGGTGTATGTATYTACGATGATTTTGTATAGTCACTGCAATCCAATTCAATATAAGCGCGCCAAAATCGTCAAAATCCCTGGCACGCCACTCTGACAAATCTCACGTATTTAATAACCCTGRWGTTTSKCGGTGAATTGATAAAAGACCTTTGCAGGGGTTAAGGTATACAGAATATATAGTATGTTATTGAATTCCCAGCAAAAATAACTTTCTGATAGTACAGATTCAGCAGGGAGCAAGTTGACAAAAACTATGAAAACTTTGTTTTTCCCTTCGTTAACTTAATTAAGAAAGGGTTGTGTAACTTAAAAACTACCAAGGCAACTCGAATTGGTTAAGAAATACTATTGAATTTAAAGAAAACCGTAAATAGACACAGATAAAAAACATTGGTTTGCTTCTTCGACTGGCTTCAGTTGTCGGCTGTACAATTTGCTACGTCATTAGTATCTATGGTGACGCTTGTTGCAAGTAATATTCAATTGCACTTTTTGGACGTCATGKACGTCAATATTTCATCCACTGGCTTTGTTAATGTCATAGCTTTTAAATTGAAATGTGGCAGAAAATAATTAAAAACGTAACTTTCTTTCTGTACTGTTCGCAATCCCCTGAAGGTTGGGGCGTGATTTGAGAATATACCCCATATCAAAAACGGAGTTCTAGATGAGCACAGTTTAATTTGAATGTTATTAAACATGGACTTAGTGGCTCGATGCGGTTATGCAGTGACACCAATGGTTTTAGCCACCCCATACTTTGAATGGCATAAAATATAGCAGCGCCACAGGGGGTAACGAGCTATTTCGAGCAGAAAAATCCTCTGACTCCAAATGTTCTTTGAAAATCATTTTTACAGCAAAATAATTAAAATATACCACTCTATATGTGTTTTGAGRGTGATATAAGTCACGTCTAGAAACACCACAGCGTGTACTAAGAGTACAGTCTGATTAATGTTTAATTGATATTCAAATGTGGTTGCGGTAGTGGTGAATTATTCTACTGAGCTATTAAATTGAAAAAGTGCCCATTGCACAATCTCGTGCACACTTTTTATGTGCGAGCTGTATGTAGTTAGGCTTGGCATTTTACACGAAGTCTCCTCTTAGCAATGAAGTCGCTCAAGGACAAACTCAAAGCAGAGTGTCGATCCGAAGATCTTTGGAAACCACTTAACTGGTTCAAAGTTAAATATCTTGGCTCTCAGACTGGGATCGAGAAAGACTTTAAATGTGTCGAGCAAGCTGGTAGAGCAATGTCAGAGCAAGCACTTAAAAAGAAGAAAAGACTSTCAARTCATTTTCTTTATGTAACAGAACAGCAAGTATCCTTGTTTCCCGCTCGCAAAGGTGATTGTGTTTTTGATATACGTGTAGAAAAACTATCATACAGCTTTCATTCTGAGAAACATYACCACGTATTTTCAATTGTGAAGCATATTTCAGCGAGTGAGGTGGAAATTTACGTTATTTGCTGCAAGAGCCAAGAGACATTCAACGATATCAACAGAGCATTTTATTTTGTGTTCAAAGACCGGAGATATTCGCTTTATCGTGATAAAAGAGAGAAAGATCGAAAAGATCTGACAATGAAAATCATGGCTAAACTGAAAACTCTCAAAGAGGAGCAAGAACGAACAAACACATTTGCTAAGAAAGTACAAGAGAAAACGGACCAAAATAAGAATGTTTTGAGAAAGGATTACTCGCCTAGTACAAAGGATGATCATCTCGATGGCAGCAAGGAAAACGTATTAGCAATGCCAATAAAGCAAGTCAACTTTGAACTAGAACAAGTAATGCCTGAAAATGACAATAACTTGCTAGAATCTGCTGTAACGGAGAGCTATTTTGAAGATAAAGATCAGAAATTATTTATTCCCAGACAAACAGCGCTGGTTGAAATCCACCGAGAGAACACAAAACAAGCCGAATTTTTTCAAAATACTGATCTTGTCTTGGCTTGTGATGAGAAACTAGAGTTTGATCGTTCAACTCGGCGATACCCGAGAAGTTCCTGGTGTTAGGAAGAGGTGTAAATACGCTTGTATTGTTTCTAATAATAGTAAGTCTATATAAGCCGGACCAGCAATAATGTTACAAACTATTTTTATGTGGAATAATGRCATTATCCCACCGCTGATACCTACACGAAACACGTCGACAGAAAAAATTGATTAAGAACGCCTTCCTTTGTATGGAKTTTTTGGGAAATATGTTTAATAATATAAAAAAGCACAGATTTGGAGTCAAACTTGTCTGGCATGTACATTTTTATTGCATTTAATACATTTTCACGAAGCAAGCATCAGAAATTATGCTTTTAATAGACATATAGATAAAAAGCTAGATTTATAAGCGAACAACCTTAAATATAGAGGTATCGATTATGATCATTCAGCATTATCACTATTCTTAGAATAAAGCGATTGTAATCCTTCACTTCCGTGCCATTATATGTAATATTATTATCAAGCACTATGCAGATCGCATACATCTTTYTTTATCTTTCGTGTTCCAACATTCTATTCTAAATAATATCACTTAACGATAATTTAACTATCACGTAAAGTAATTGAAACAGCATGAAATAATGTAAAAAGAAAAAAAAATAGAAATGTGAATTAAATACGTATACGATTCGCAGTTGAACGAATGTGGTTAGGCTCAAGAACAGTCTGAAGAAGTTGTGGTTTCTAAGTTAGCCACGAAATTCATAATTTACATCATATTAACGGTTTCAAAACCTGAGTATATTTATGTCGACTAATAACAAATTCATAAGGAATTTACAGCAAAAATTAAACTCCCGTCAGACTGTCATATGCAGATTAGACTTACAATCGACACGACAGCCAAACTTGATGAAAAATGTCGAGTTTTTATCGATACCAATAGGTAATTTTATTTGCTGTCGCTTGTATGAAAAAAAGAAGTTTGTTTTTATTATGGTTTAATCGTTTTACATTTATTAGATAAGAAATTAAATGTAGACTATTCTCAATGTCAATAGTGATCCACTTGTATGCAGTATTCATCAAAACCTGATGTCCTTACTTTCAGTGTTTCAGGACATTGCGCCGGCAAAATCAAATAAATTTACCTCAAATTCTATTCTGTTATCAATCCTCTTTATTGTAAATCACCCAATTAAAGAATTTTGTCACGCAGCCTGAGATAGCGTGACTTTGTGGTCAAAATTAACAAACAGGTGCATAAGCCACTAAGTGCCACCCCATTGTTTGATGAACCAATCAGAAAGCAAGTTGCTACTTTCGTATCTGAAATAGTAGCTTTTAGTGGTAAAAATAGCTGACATTTAATAGGTATGATATTTCATGTATAAAGCCACGTTTCTGAAAGATACCGGTCGATATATTATAGCAGATAAACTGTGAAATCACGGCAGAGTTGAACAATGATGCTAGGAAAGCATGGAAGTCATAATATTCAAGAAGAACGCTCTTTTCAAGTTAAATATATGGGGTATATCCAAAACACGGNATACCAATAGGTAATTTTATTTGCTGTCGCTTGTATGAAAAAAGAAGCTTGTTTTTATTATGGTTTAATCGTTTTACATTTATTAGATAAGAAATTAAATGTAGACTATTCTCAATGTCAATAGTGATCCACTTGTATGCAGTATTCATCAAAACCTGATGTCCTTACTTTCAGTGTTTCAGGACATTGCGCCGGCAAAATCAAATAAATTTACCTCAAATTCTATTCTGTTATCAATCCTCTTTATTGTAAATCACCCAATTAAAGAATTTTGTCACGCAGCCTGAGATAGCGTGACTTTGTGGTCAAAATTAACAAACAGGTGCATAAGCCACTAAGTGCCACCCCATTGTTTGATGAACCAATCAGAAAGCAAGTTGCTACTTTCGTATCTGAAATAGTAGCTTTTAGTGGTAAAAATAGCTGACATTTAATAGGTATGATATTTCATGTATAAAGCCACGTTTCTGAAAGATACCGGTCGATATATTATAGCAGATAAACTGTGAAATCACGGCAGAGTTGAACAATGATGCTAGGAAAGCATGGAAGTCATAATATTCAAGAAGAACGCTCTTTTCAAGTTAAATATATGGGGTATATCCAAAACACGGAGTCTGGAGTTACAGGAATTGATAAAGCCGTGAAAAAGATCCACGACAGGAATCGAAACGAAGAAAAAACATGTCCAAGGATTACGGTTGAAGTCAGCAAGGAAGGGATGACTTTTAACCATGGCGGTTCAAGCAAGAAACAGTTCTTTGCGATCAAGGAAATTTCGTACTGCTCACTCAATCGGTTTGACACCAACATATTTGCATTTAATCATCACATTTCGAAATCTCCCCTGAATGTCGAATGTCATGCTGTTTTATGCAACTCGGAAGAAAAAGCGAGGGCAATTGGACAATCACTCTACTCAGCATACCGCGAAGGCCATTTTGAGGAGCTTAGAAAAGAACGACGGAGAAAACTCAACGTATCTCCGGCAAATTTAGAGTTACAAAGCGAAAATACAGCAGCTGTTCCAAAAGCTGGCGAGTCTAACGTTGAAAAGGCAGAGGTTAAAGCAAACTCGACTGGTGTCCTTGATACGGAATTAGAGAACATTGTAAAAGACATGTTAGATACAGTCGAAAGAGAAAAAGGAAATATAGAGGAACAGAAATGACCATAATATTCATGAAATGTCTTTATTATAACTAAAGAGGAACTTGGCGAAAAATAACTTCTTTGTTTTCTCAGCATTGATTTGTTTTCATAGAACTTCTTTTCTACTATAGCGACGGCGGATAATTATTCAAAGCGATCGCTTGTGGACACTGCAGTAGTTCGTCTTTACATAGACTTCTTGTGCCGCAGGGTTGATTAGCTAGAGTAGGTTTGCAATTGGCTACCCATCTCATTTAGCTGGACAAAACATTAATATATGGAAGGTTGGGTAAAACAAATTCGCTGCTATGTAACTRCAAAGGAAAAGTGAATAAAAACGAAAAACCACTGTGAATTAGAAGGATTTTTAGCGGGACTTTTTCGAGTTGGCCATTTGAGAGACTATACCACTAATAATATAAATAAACTCTTTTTTGTATCTATGATAAAAATGGTGTTTACGAAAGTTATATAGCAGCACAGGAAATTGAGTATTTCAGCCGATAAGCCGTACAAATGCCAAGACTAAAAGATCCGAATTCTGGTAATAGCCCGAGAATTATCAATAAACTCGATGTCGTAATAATTGAGATGTAGCTGAATAAATGAACAGATGAAACTTATTTTTAAATCAAAAATTATAAACTCAGAGTATTTTTATAAAAACCGTCTAAAAAACTGTCCTGTGATCGAGATCGAAGCGATTGTGATAGTTTACATGTGCTTCGTGTAATGATAGGGCATCTAATGCAAGTATGGAACTGCGTCTAGCAACTCCCTAGAGAGGAAAGATGAAGCTGAAGAAAACATAACTAAACAATTATAAACTGACTGAAAGCTATGAAAAGATCCACTCTAGCTGAGGTGTCAGTTATTATTCACCATCGTCACAATTGTTATCACTCACACAGCAACTTTTCCACAAAATGTATTATCTGTTCTATACACAAATCGATAAAATATTTGGTATGGTTCAATAAAGGGAACAAGAACAGTCAATATTTGATATATATGGGTAAACTGATAACTTGAACAAACTTCATGCATGATATTGCTATGCTATAATATCGGATACACTTTGATATCAGTTTTTTAAGAATATATTTACGAATTCACCATCTCATCGCGGATGCGAGATTTGTCACTGTACCGCATATCATAAACTTGAATTATACCATTGGATTGGTAAAACTGCCATTTCTTCACAACCAACGAGCATTTCTTTGAATCTCATCGATAACCATCACTAGTCATCACAGTATCGTTTCTTTATAATCTGTTCTTGATTGTCTTATCTCCTGTAGTGGGATCATTTCGTCATGCTGCTCGCCCCAGCCACGCCTAAAACCTTCCTTCAACTTCTCGACGAGTTTCTTACAGCCAATTCTTACATCTTGGCTAACTAAGTAATATATAAATGGTCTTACCACTGAATTGCATACACTTAGCATAATGGATAGGTTAAAAAGCACTAGGTATTGCTCTAGTGATGTCTTTGTTGACGTTAATATGAAAGCGACCCGTAGAATATTTAGTGGTATTGTACTGATGACGAACAAAATTACCAACGGTGTGAGAAATCGTTTTGCTTCTGCGCACTCGTTATGTCGAACCTCATCCTGCTCACTAAATACTATAGGGTTAGTGTTGTCGCTGTCAGACTGCAAACGYCGGTGGCGAACCCCTCCTTTCTTGGCGCAGTTGCCCCGTCTGAGTTTCACTGACACTTTGAAGTATGACCACACTACCACCCCCACGGGGAAAATAAACAGTAGAAAGATTAACGAAAAGGAATGAACTTTAGCAGGAATTGTGTTTGTTGGAGAAGAGGAAGGCCATCGAATGAAACAGTAGTTTTTACCGCATGTTTTGCTATAATGACTGGCCAGAAGAATCGGTAGTGATATGATAATCAACGCTGTAATCCAAAGCACGACAAGAACACGAACGGCACGCGACTGTTTCCGACGACGCCACGACTTTGGCTTGATGATCCGATATCGGTGAATAGCTATAACTACTAGAGTCCATGTAGATACTGCGTAAAAYGCATCAGTAAAGGGATATATGTATTTGCATGCTATGTTACCAAGGACCCACTGGTATGTACCTTGTTGCTCTTTGGCTACTGCGAATGGAAACCCCAATAAAAGTACCCCAATATCAGCCAGTGCCATGTTTCTGATATACAGTCGTATAGATACATTAATGTTTGAGTGTTTAAGGTTAATTACGCAAATGGCAACATTGAATAGKACACCAACCAGAGCGAGGAACGACTCGGCTGTCAATCGTGCTACTCTGATCTCATTTGACTCGTAGATGTACTCAAATGTACAAAAGTTACTCGAAGTGTTKGTCTTGAGAGGAATGCTCACAAACGCATCTCCATTCCATGGCTGCATCGTTTAATAGCCTGAGATTACTTTGTTATTGTAGAATTACTGTTTTACTCCATTATTGGCCAAAGACAATATTGGCTGCCTTCTGCAAACCGTACTGTGTATCAGCATACAGAGTCAACTTTAACTAGGAAAATCTAACAACTCCTTCTTGACTTAAAGATGCAGTTTCTTTCCAGTAGACTGACCATTCCGGAGACAACTCGGATCATACAAACTTACTATTCAGCCTTGCGTATCAGAAATTGGAAGTCACACGAAACTCGATGATCCCTGACTTGTATTATTGATACAGCAACTTCAGGAAAAGGCGTCAAATCGTGTATGAAGAGACACAAGGTAAGCATACACAATGATCCTTCGCACAGGTTCTTCCTTTTAACTTTAACTTGAGCGCTATTGGTTAAAGTAGCTCCTTTGAATGTCCTYWATTTCTACTCTGCAAACAACGCCACACTCGCAAATAAACCTTTCAACGCGTCTACTCAGCAATCTTGACGCTTACTTCAATCCAGCTGGTTACAGTATTTATGTTATTACAACCACGCAGTCAACAGATCCACAAATTGTCAGCTTATTGTTGTAGTAGTACGAGAATCAGTAAGAAGACCTCGTCGGGTCACTGTCATAGAGTGTTATCTATATGACGTATGATATAATGGCCTAAAGCACATTCCTCAACACGACCCAACAACCAATGAGCTTAGAAAAATTTGACAACCCTAATCTTTCGACAAAAGAGATTTAAGCTTTTACATATACTCCAGAATAACGAGACAAAGCAACTGCRCTCTTTAAGTTAAGTCTCCATAGTTTACGTTCAACACCCAATTGATTATCATAATTCTCTTTTATTAATTGAAGCGTTAAAAGATAACAGATAGCCTATAAAGTGTTTTTGTTCAGTAAAGGCTGAGATATCGCGTCTGCATCGGATATATGACTAACACATTGTACATTGYTTATGCATGAGGCAGCTCTACCCCCCGTTATCTACAAAGGAACATCTGATTTCGGGGTCACCATACACATTTAATTGGATTTTTTTCTTCTTTTAAGTAAACAAAACGATCTCTCTTAGTCGGACGCAGCTGATTCAGATAAGATCAATGATTTACATAGCTAGTGATTTGTTATCACAGCCGATTAAGGAATGATTAAAACCAGGTATGTTTTTACTATTTTTGGCATTACTACATTTGTACAGCTGTACAATGTTATAATCATTGATCGCGTGACAAGATGACTGTCRTTTGCACAAACACAGCTGCGTGACGGTTGTGAACTCAGTACGTGCCTTGACAAACGACCATTTTACAAGAATACTAGACGC